CTGCTCTATTTTTACACAGCAGTGGAAAGAATGTGGGTTTCTGATTGGACAGATGTGGCTTAGGATTCTGCCACTGTCACTTACAACTTTGTGACACCATCAGAGATTATGGAGCTCTCTATAGCTGCATGCCCTTAACTCTCTGGTTTTCATTGATTGTTTCATGGCTGAACAACTAGGTTGGACAACTGATACAGATTGAGTGTTTGTGCTCCCCTCAAATTCATATGTTGAAACCTAATCCCCAATGTGATGGTATGTGTGGGTGGGGCCTTTTGGAAGATGATTAGGTCACAGAGTAGAGCCCTCATATATTGGATTGATGCTTTTATAAAAAGAGACTCCAGAGAACGCCCCTGCCCCTCTACCATGTGAGATCACAGAGAGTAGATGGTTGTCCATACACCAGGAATTGGATCTCACCAGACATTAAATCCGCCGTACCCAACCTACAGAACTATGGGAAATAAATGTTAGTTGTTTAAACCAGTTTGCTGTTTAAACTGATATTTTTGTTACAGTAGCCCAAATGGACTAAGATAATTGAATTCAATTTATTCCTAATACCTTATTCCTCCATCATTCAAATCCAATGTGTCTTTCATATTGATTGAGACATATGGGCTCCTTGATGCCACCTAGAATCTCTGAGAAGTGGTCAGACTCCCTTTCTTCACACTGCTCTTCACAAGTGAAGATGGGCGGGTAGGGAGAATAGGTGGTGACCATTCTCTACAAATAGTATCTTCTCTCCTGAGTGAATGTGGTATAGCCCAGTATGACCCTCTACACCTACATAAGTAAAAGTTGGAAGCAGACAACAGTGCCATTCCCTTAACGATTCTAGAGAAATATACCCTTTGTGTTAATGTATACACGTTGACAGACTATATCTAATTAAGTAGTTGAATGCACTATTCTCCCCAAGTGTTGCTATAAGACTTGAGATTTATTAAAAATCAAACTCACACTTTCTTTCTCTTATTCATGGCATTGACTAAAGGATAATGGAAATGCACAATGTTGTTTTTTCTTAACTCTACTAAAGAGATCATTGTTTAGTTTTTAACTTAAATATCTTCTCTTTACAAAGCCTTCTCTGAGTCCTTCAATCTGATGCCTTTGTTTGAAATACTACATCCTGATGGTCTGACTTGTTTGCCTGTGTCTTTTTTGTGGTAGATTGTGAGCTTTCCTTTTTGGATAATCACGTTGGCTAGTATTTATTGAAGATTGTCTTATCTGCCAGGTTTCCTGTTAAGTGCTTTAAAGAGCTTGTCTCATTTGTTCAACAGTACCACCTTTGAGGTGGTACTACTATTCTATTATTTTACAAATAAAGAAACTAGAGGCAAATTCACATAGCTAGTAAGGTTAGGGTCTGCCAAAGCTATGTCATAAGTGCTGCCCCATATTGCCTGTTGGCAGGCATAGAGGCTATCTGTTATCTCTCATTGCCACCCCGCTGTACCCAACTGAATGCCAGGAACAGGAAGGTGCTCAGTCAATGCTGCTAGGTATTGAGTAGAGCAGAAACGCCAGGGTCATGAGCACCTTTGCTATGACTGATTGGTATCTGACTTCCTTGCTGTGAAGAGGAGGACAGTGCTGGAGCAAATGCAGTCCTCTGGCTCGTAGTTCTCTCTGTCCTATGCCGTTTGTGCTGCTGCCTTACTCTTCCTTCTTTCTAACTGCAACATGTATGTTAGAAGTTGGAGCTTAGTGCACACAGATGGAAATGGGGGACTGAGAGAGAATAAATGTGGAATCCAGGAAAAAGAGAGAGAGATTAAACTTTATGTGTAGAGAAATATTTAACCAAGGAAATCAAGCTGTTATCTGTGATTGGTGTATTACAAAGTTCAGGTTTGGGGGCTGGTCAGTGCTCTTTTCTTTCTGATTTGATATGGTTTGAAAATAAGCTAATAGGTGTAGCTTGAAGATACCAGATCACATGTGTGGAACTAGCTCTACTTAAGCCAATATAACATTTGTGCAGCACAAATGCTTTATGCACTCGAGCAGGAAAGAGTCTGCAGGAATCCATCCGTCTCCTGGCCTGCAGAGAGAACAGAAACATGAGCACCGCAGGAAAAGTAAGCAAATTTTTTGTTTACATTTTCTTTTTAATCCTCACCTAAGGATTTTTTCTACTGATTTTCAGACAGAGTGGGGTGGGGTGAGGGGGGAGGAGAAATAGACATCAATGTCAGAGAGACACACTGATTGGCTGCCTCCCACACAACCCCAACTAGGGCTGGGGATTGAACCACAACCTAGGTACGTGCCCTTGACCAGAATCGAATCTGTGACTCTTTGGGCTGAAGGCCATTGCTCTAACTGCTGAACCAAACTGGCCAGGGCATTGACTTTTGAAAATATATTCTCATTATATAATACGCAAAGAGATATAGTATTTAATGAATAACTTAAAGTTTATATCCAAATTGGAAATAATATATACTAAAATATAACATAAAATATATACTTTATTATGCAGTGTATATTGAACCAGAATAAAAATAGGCTATAACTAAATATCTTTAAAAGAATGTATAGTTTCTGTACCCATTAAAGACTTTATTTCCTATATTAAATAAATGTTCAGTAGTTATAGCCAATCATGAGTAATTTGAAAATCTAAAGTTAGAAATATTTTAAATCAAGAATTTATCTTTATGTTAAGAAGCCATAGTTTAAATGTTATTCTTTGTAACCACTTTTTTTTTTTTTTATGAACAAAGGAGGAAAGTTAGGTATGACATGCTTTATTGATCTTAAAGCATTAGACTCATCAAGGTTAAGCAAGCCAACATCAACATGCAAATTCTGATTTTAAAGGGTCCTATTATGGCTCAATCCAGGAAATTTACATAGAAGTCTTACAGAAAAATATTTTCTCCATATAAAAGTCAACATGACTTTATCAAAAATTAATACTGATATAGTTTGAATCACTTATTAGTAGTAGGAACAGGGATATTGGATTCTGAGTCTTCCATAGATGTTTTTACCTGTTCAATGTGCTTACAGATTCAGAGAAATGCATGGGATCAGTCAATATAATCAATTCACAGTGTTTAACTGATCAGTTCCAAAAGTATCCAGAACATTTGTTATGTTAGGAGTGGACCACGCGCTGTAATATTTTGCTATGATAACTCAATTTAAAGTCTGTGAGATTTCTATACACACTGTGTTACACAACAGGCCTATATACTAATAAGATTGGTTGGAAATCTCAAGGGAGCCAGTTGTCAGTTTCTTCATTTCAACTATTTTCATTTACTACTCCTAAGAATTTACAAAGGCAAATTACATTACAAATGAAGAAAAGTTAGTAAAAATGAAAAATAAGTTTGTCAAAACTCAGCTTGAAAGAAATAATGAGTTCAGAGAGCAAACGGGTAAACCAAATGTATTCATGAAAACAATAAATAATAAGCAATCAATTCTTCCCCCTCCGGTGCAATATCATGAGCTTTCAGCTTTGTGGTAACACTTCATCTATGTTTATTCTTCCTGCATTATATTTTCCTCAAATACAAAATGGCAATCAAATAATACCTACTTCATAAAATAGTTGTGAGACAGTGCCTGGTACATAGAAGTAATTTAGTAAATGTTAGTCACTGCTATTGTTGTTGTTGCTATTTAAACTCTGGTTAATCTTTTACTACCATGGGATGGTAAAAAGATAAAGTTGGATTGATCTTAATTCTCTGGACAGCCAACTTTGTGATTTTGCAAAAATTAGTCAGTTACTGAGTCGATTGAGCCTCAACTTTGTCATCTATAAAATAAACCAATAACAATAATACTGCCCTGTGGGGTTGAAAGATCAAGCATGTGACTCATTCAGCACTGGCCACAGTGTGCCTGCCCATTATAAAAACACCTGATAATGAGGACCTGTATGTACTATTAGAGTATTATTTCTAAGTACTCTTAAATTTATTGTGATATTGACCATGACAAACATGTGGCAAAATGGGAAAATTTGACATATAAATAATAAAAATTAATTTGTAAAAGAACAAATTTCAATTGACTTTTAAAAATTATATTTACAATTATGAATTGTAAATTCATAATTACAATTGTTACAGAATTGTCTGGAGAAAAGCTCTCAAATGTATAAGTTTTGTAACAATGAAGACAGATTTTATATTACATTCTCAAGTACTAAAAATATGTGTTCAACTTTAATTTTGAAGAACATCAATGGGTAAGCTATGTTAGATTAAAAAGTCAAACACAGAGTTATCCCATTTAAAAATATATATGTGTGTGTGTATGTGGGTAAGAGCATGTGTGTTTGTGTGTATGTGTACAGCTGTAACCTCTGCAATTTATGGCTCATATCTAATCTGGAAAGAAAAGCTACACATAAATTAGATAAGCAAACTGAGCTGCCAAAGCTCACTTTCAAATGCATGATGCAAACAGGTAGCACACAGAAGTAGTGGGGAGAGAAATCGGAGGAGGACAGGCAAAGAGAAAGAGAAGTCATCTATGCAGGGAGGCAAGTATGTACTGGAATCACCAAGTCAGATGATCTGGGGCGTAAGTGGAGAACTGAGCAAGAGAGTAATAGGTTTTATGTGAACAGACAGTGACTCTATCAGTGAGATACTTATAATTTAAACTTCATGTACAAGCCAACAGTTGTGGGTAAACAATTTCACAGCATTAGGAAATATCAGGAATAAAGAACCCTTAGAAAAAGAAACAACCTAAAGATGGCCTAAAAGAACATATTCCATTGTACCTCAATGCCTCATTATCGTTAACTTTGTTTTTCTTTCCTTATGTTATTGCTTTGCACATTTCTAAAAGGTATTTTTATTCTCTTTGCAAATCAGGAGTTGTCCATTTCTGCATAACATTTCTTAGGTTCCCGACATGGGGCTGGATGGTGCACTTAAAAAGATGAGAGTCACAATCCCTGACCTCGGGAGAGGGGAAACGCTGGAATCATCTTTCTGTTCTATTTCCAGGTCATAAAATGCAAAGCAGCTGTGCTATGGGAGTTAAAGAAACCCTTTTCCATTGAGGAGGTGGAGGTAGCACCCCCTAAGGCTCACGAAGTTCGTATAAAGGTAAAACATTTTTTTCACTTCTGTTGAATTTTAGGTTTAAAAAAATTCAGAACTAGCCCTGGCCAGTCTGGCTCAGCGGTTAGAGCATCAGCCCGCGGACCAGAGAGTCCCGGGTTTGGTTCCCGCTAAGGGCATGTACCTCCGTTGCAGTTTGTCCCCGGCCGCGGTTGGGGTCATGTGGGTGGCAGCCAGTTGATGTGTCTCTCTCATGTTGATGTTTCTCCCTCTCTCTTCCTCCCTTTCTCCCTCCCACTCTATCTGAAGATAAATGCAAAAAAAATGTCCTTGGGTGAGGATAAAAAAAAATTCAGAGAATAGTACAAATGGAAATAAAAAATACATTAAGAAGCACTTTTAAAAAAATTCTCAACCAAGGATATGTGTGGGATTTTTAAAATCGATTTTACAGAGAGAGAGAGAGAAACATCAATGTGAGAGAGAAACATGGTTCAGTTGCCTCCAATTCATGCCTTAAAAGGGGATCAAACCCATAACCTAGGTATGTGCCCTGACTGGAATTGAACCTGAAACCTTTGATGTACAGGACAATGTACCAACTGAGCCACCCGACCAGGGCCAGAAACGCTTTTGATATGGTAATACAAACAGTGGAATTGCATTTCTTGTCAAAGAAAGATATAAATACAAATTGCTAAGTTTTTAGAAAGAGAACAGACAATATACACAGTATAATCCTAATGGTGACCTAAACAAATAGGTAAATTGGGTCAAGCTCAAAATGGTCAAAAGGATTAATTTATTCAAGAATAACAGAGTAGTTGCCATTTGGAATGTGTGACTTGAGGGACTGGGGTAGGCTGTACTTCCGGAAGACAATTTAACGAGGGGAGAGGTCAGTTATAGTCTGTTAAAATGTATGTATTTTCTATGATGGCATCTTTTATTATTGTACAATACTTTTTTTGGGGTCTCGTTTAAATAGTTTGGGCCTTGGATTTTGCTTAATATGATGACAATTTTAGAGCCATGTATTCTTTTGTATTTATCTCATTAAAATTTTTTTAACTGTAAAATAAAAGCAAATGTAGACAAGCTTTGAAAATTCCCCATGGAGACAAAACCACTCCAATCATACAAACAAAGCTCAATTCAGTGTATTTTGTGAGATGAATCCCACCTGAGTCATTTTAGTTCAAAATTTCCCAAGGTTGATATGAGGCAACTCCTGACCAACTTTTTGTTTCTTTTTTAATCTTTATTGTTGAATGTATTACAGATGTTCCTCATTTTTCCCCCATTGACCCCCTCCTCCCCACTTCCATCCCCTTCCGCCTTTTCCCACACTGTTGTCTGTGTCCATTGGTTATGCATATATGCATATAAGTTCTTCGGTTTATTTCTTCCCATCCCCAATCCCCCTTCCCTTTGAGGTTTGTCAGTCTAGCAACCAATTTGTACTTCTTAATCCCTTCACCTTTTTCACCCATTCCTCCATCCCTGCTTCCATCTGGCAAACAAACAAATGTTCTCTGTATCTATGAGAATGTTTCTGTTCTGCTTGTTCATTTTGTTTATAGATTCAATTGTTGATAGCTATGTATTCGTTGTCATTTTGTTTATTCATATTTCTTATCTTTTTCTTCAAGAAGACTCTTCAACATTTCATATAATAATGGTTTGGTGGTGATGAACTCCTTTAGCTTTTCCTTGTCTGAAAAACTATATGGCCATCGATTCTAAATGACAGCTTTGCAGGATAGAGTAATCTTGGTTGTAGGTTCTTGCTTTTCATCACTCTGAATATTTTTTGCCACTCCCTTCTGGCCTGCAAAGTTTCTTTTGAGAAATCAGCTGACGGTCTAATGGGAACTCCCTTGTAGTAACTAACTGCTTTTCTCTTGCTGCTTTTATGATTCTCTCTTTGTCTTGAACCTTTTGCATTTTGTTGATGATGTGTCTTGGTGTGGGCCTCTTGGGGTTTATCTTGTTTTGGACTCTCTGTGCTTCCTGAACGTGTATGTCTGTTTCCTTCACCAAGTTGGGGGAATTTTTCTGCCATTGTTGTTTCAAATAGGTTTTTGATTTCTCATTCTCTCTCTTCTTTTTCTGGCACCCCCAAGATGCGAATGTTGGTACGCTTGAAGTTGTCCCGGAAGCTCCTTACACTCTCCTAATTTTTTTGGATTCTTTTTTCTTTTTGCTCTTCTGATGGGTGTTTTTTGCTTCATTAGATTCCAAATCGATGGTTTGCTGCTTGGCTTTACCCACTCTATTGAATCTGTGTAAATTATTCTTTATTTCAGTTAGAGCCTTCTTCATTTCTGACTGTGCATCCTTCATTTCTGACTGGTCCTTTTTTATGCTCTTGAGGTCCTCACTAAGTTCGCTGAGGTTCTCACTAAGTTCATTGAGCATCCTTATAAGCAGTATTTTGAACTCAGCATCTGTTAGGTTGCTTATCTCCATTTTACTTAGTTCTTTTCCTGGGGTTTTGTTCTGTTCTTTCATTTGGGACCTGTTTCTTTGTCTCCTCATTTTGGCTGCCTCCCTGTGTTTGTTTCTGTGTATTACTTAATGAGAGGTATGGGGCTAGCTGAGACTAGATGCTGCTTGTTTGAAAGAATTTAGGAAAACCTGAAGCAGGATCCAAGACAGGCCAATCCTATGGTTAAACAACTGGCAACAACTTGGGTGGGCCTGAAGTTGGGTGGGGCAGGGCCTCAGGGAATCACCAGGGTGGGGCAACCAGTGTGAGCCAGGTTGCTGGACATGGCAGCTGTCTTCTGCCCCAGGGAAGGGCTCACCAAAGGAACAAAGGCCTCTGACAGCACGTCTGTCCTGGAGAAAGCTCCCTCTCCAGCCCTCGTTCCAGTGCGAAACAGCTCAGTTCTTCCCTGTATGTCTCTGGTGCCCCTCGAGCTGCCTCCCCTCCAAGCTTAGAGGAAGTGAGTCCGATAAGTCTGTGTCCGGGCTCCAGCCTCCTCAGCCTCCCTGAGCCTCAGTTCCACTGGTTTTTCCAGCCAGAAGTTATGGGGACTTCTCTTCCTGGCACTGGAACCCTGAGTGGGGCACCTGGTGTGGGACAGGGACTCCTCAGTCCTCAGGGAGGACCTTCCCAGCCGAGGTGTCCTCCTGATTTTTATCCGCCACACGTGGGTGTGAGACCAGCCCATCCGCCTCTGCCCCTCCTACCAGTTTCGATGTGCTGCTGCTTTAATTCCGTAGTTGTAGGACTTCCATTCTGCTTGATTCCAGGCAGTTTTGAATGATGGTTTGTTCTATAGTTTAGTTGTAACTTTGATGTGGTTGTGGGAGGACATGATGCCACATTTACCTATGCTGCCATCTTGACCCAAAGTCCCAACTTTTTATCATTTAGGAAAATTGCAATATTATCAGCTTTCTGCAAATTAGGCATTTACAAGAAATCAGTTTCTCAGTCCTTGTGTTTGGTTTTCCTGATGGCACATGCATGAGATTTTTCATTTTATATCCTCCGATTCCACTTTAGATAAAAATTCTTTCACACTAATAAAATAAGAAAAAAAAGAATTGAAGTACTTATGCGGGAAAAAAGTGCAAAGAAGTATATATATTAAGACTGCAAAATCAATTAGCACTACATGATGGAATTTAACTGGCTTAATTTTCTTGGTGTTAATCTGTAGTTTCTACTTCTATAAAAAAGGATGCATTCTTTTTTGTCTGTTATATAAGACAAATATTTGAGAGACAATTATTTAACAGGTTATTCTAAATTGCTTAAGACAGGAAAGGAAAGTATAAGAGGGTTTTAGACAGAATAATGTTGAGGACAAACAAAATCTTTTGTATTTGGGAAGAGTAGAGATAAGCAAAACCCTTGAACACTCTTTGAAAGTCCAACATCAGGAAATTGGGCATGTTAAGTCTATCTGAGGGCCATAATTTTTTCTTTTTTTTTAAATTTAAAACTTTGAACTTTTTGATAGACACTCTTAAGAAAATAAAAATAAGAGATAGATTAAAAGAAAATATTTGAAATCATGTATTTGATAAACAATTTGTATCTAGATTGTATAAAGAATTGTCAAAGGTTAATAAGAAGAAAAGAAATTATCAAGGTTTTTTTAATTGGTAAAATTTGAACAGATCCTACACCAAAGAAGATATATAGATGGCAAATAAGCACATGAAAAAATGGTCAGCATCATTAGTTATAAGAAAATTACAAATTAAAACCCCAGTGAGATACTACTATATTTCTAATAGAATCCTTAAACCAGATACCATGAGTTGCTGCAGTGTAGCAGGGGAGAGAACTATTTTTTTAATGATTGGTGATGGATCTTTTAGCTAATACAATGGGAAAATATATATGTTGATTCAAAGCATATATGACAAAAATAATTATAAATTATAAATCTTAAAAAAAAAAAAGACTAAAATGAAAATATCTGGCTATACCAAGTGTTGGTGAGAATTCTGAGAAACTGGGAGCTTTCATATGGTGATGATGGGAATGTAAAATGGTACAGCCACTTGGGAATAGTTTGGCAATTTCTTAAAAAGTTAAACATATATTATTTCACTCCTTGGTAGTTATAAGAGAAATGAAAGCATGAGTCACACAAAGACCTATAGAAACTTTCATAACCTCAAACTGGAAACAAATCAAATCTTCATCAACAGGTAATAAACAAATGGTGATACAGTGATAAAATGGAACACCATATCAAAGCCCTGGAAAGAGGCAAGGCTAGTTGATAAAAGGAGCTGGGACTGGGAATCAGGAGTCCTGATTCTTCCATTGTCTGTGGACTCAGATAAACAAGTTCACTTCTGTGGACCTCATCTTAGTAACCAGAAGATCCAGGACTTAATGCCTCCAAGACTCTGTTGGCATTTCTCAGCTTGCCCCCTCTTGGGCTCTGGCAGAGGGAGGGCAGACTGGACTGGAACTGTGTGGGGACACTCGAGATTTGGAGGGCGCTCAGAGCTTTCGCTGAGTTGCGGCCACACAGAACCATGGTCATCTTACTCCTTCCCAGAGTTCTGGGGAGAGGCAGCGGCCTCTCCCTCCCATAATTTTTTCTGAACCTAATTATCTTCCCTTTAATCTGTAGATGGTGGCCACAGGAGTCTGTCGGTCAGATGACCATGTTGTTAGTGGAGCCATAGTCTCACCTCTTCCTGTGATCATAGGCCATGAGGCTGCCGGCATTGTGGAGAGCATTGGAGAAGGGGTGACTACAGTAAAGCCAGGTACAGAATTCACACCTGCAGAGTGTACTTCTGTTCAGGACTCAAAGTCACCCAGCCTGGATGATGAAATTAAAGCAACGAGAGATGAAAGACCTTGCCGACGGTTGCGGCAGAGCTAGGACTTGAACAGAGATCTCTTCCTGCTTGCTATGGTGGAGAGAGCTGGGGTGAAAAGTAAAGGTGTCATTTATTATTAATTTATTTCTAAGTGAAGGAAATACTAAGAGCTGAAACTCAAACCAGGCCATTTATTTTAATATTTTCTGTTCATAGGATAATTATTTGGTAATGGAGGAGGTCAAACCTACTGGTGAAAGTGATTTGTTTTAGAATTAAACATAATTTTTATTTTTAATCATCTATTCTACCTAGCTACAAAACCCATTAAAATGGTTGAGCCATAATATTTAATAGATAAACTTTATATGGAAATGATGGCATGAACATTTTGTATTTATTCGCCTGGTTTGAATTTCAGCTCTTAGTATTTCCTTTACTTAGAAATAAATTAATAATAAATGACACCTTTACTTTTCAACCCAGCTCTCTCTATCATAGCAGGAAAAAGAATTATTTTTGTCTCATTTTTTGTTATTTAAAAAAAAAAAACACAACAAAACCTAAAATTTTAAAAGTAGGCACTCATTTTACAGTAAAAATAAGCATTCACTTTGGAAAGCCAAGAAATGGTTGTTAAAATTCTCATTTTTACTGTATCCCAATCTATCACAAAAGACTGGCTCTCCCCAACATCTAGTGAAACTATGTATACTTGTAGTGAAAATATTTAAAGTTTACTTATTAAGGATTAAATGAGATACATATAAAACCACCAAGAGAAAGGGCACAGAAAAAAGATAACCATTAATGCAATGAAAATATTTTAAAATCCATGTTGTTTCCCACATTTACATTTCTTCCTTGTCAATCTTTAGGCACATACAAACCCAAACCAATCACAATCCTGCCAGGCAATGACCAATGACATCGTGGTGACTGGATCCTATTTCTTAGAGACTATTCAAAGACAACTGCCTCTAATACATACCCGAAAGCTTTAAGTTCTTGTTCTATTAATTCCTCAGTAGAAATTTAGTAAGAATTTGTTTTTTCCTCTCCAGGTGATAAAGTCATCCCACTCTTTACTCCCCAATGTGGAAAATGCAGTGTTTGTAAACACCCAGAAGGCAACTTCTGCTTGAAAAATGAGTAAGTTTCCATTACTCTCCTTACACAGCCATTGAATTTGCATATCAGTTATGCTCCTGTCTCAAGCCCTTGTGTGTTTGTGTGTTGCACTGGCTAGTCTGAGCATGCCTCGGGGGACCATGCAGGATGGTACCACCAGGTTCACCTGCAGAGGGAAGCCCATCAACCACTTCCTTGGCACCAGTACCTTCTCTCAGTACACAGTAGTGGATGAGATCGCAGTGGCCAAAATTGATGCAGCCTCACCACTAGAGAAAGTCTGTCTCATTGGCTGTGGATTCACTACTGGTTATGGATCTGCAGTCAAAGTTGCCAAGGTAAGAATGACAATGGATAATAAAACCAGTTGCACTCAGACTGGCAGAAATCAAAAGGAAAGCAATTTCTTACAAGAATCAGAGATGATTCTTCATCGATTTACTGGTAGCTATCGTTCTCCACCCCCCACCCCGATACCACAATAACGCTGATATACTCCATAGTATTTAGGGTGTGGATTCTGAGTAGAAAAATGCCCTAAGGAAAAATTAAGAGCATAACCTAGAAAATTTATCTGTTCATAACAAGTGAAAAAGTTGTTGGTAATTAGTGAAGAAAAAAGTGAAGACGCCATTTTCAATCATTATTTCTCTCTCTCTCTCTCTCTCTCTCTCTCTCTCTCTCTCTCTCTATATATATATATATATATATATATATGATTACTAAATTTTAAAGCTAGGACCTCATTTAGTCATTCCTTCTATGGTGAGTCAGTGCAAACACGCACCAGGCACAGTCAGTTCTGCTAGGTCCTGAGGCAGCAAAAGTAAATGAGACGAGAGAGTTGCCTTTGAGGAGCCGCTAGTCCATGGGTCCTCTACTCCCAGAATTAGGATCAGTAGATTCCAAAGCCTTACCTGATACACCTCCAGCCCAATCTTCGCCATCCTATCTGCTCTGTGGAACCCTCTGAGGAAGGCAAGGGAGTGTCAGTGATGTAGTACGCATTTATCCCAATCATTAGGGGCTCTTACTGCTGCATCTCCTCCCCTGCCGTGAACACACAAACACACCCTCAGAGGTAGTAGATTTGAAGGAGAAATTCTTTAAAGGCCTCTCTTCCCAAAAGGTTGAAAATTTAGTAGGCCCGTGTAGATAATGCTATTTGCCTAAAAATCTTATGGCTGCGGCTAGCATGTCTTTCTCAAAACTCCTAAATAACCTTTCTCTGCCTCACAGCTAATTTCTGCTCTAATTATACCAGTCATGACTACTGACAGTTAATAAATCGTAAACCATAATATATCATTATCTGCATTTTAAAATCACAATTACAAACCTCACATTTTTTTTGAGTAAAGTAAAAAGTGATATTGTACCCCAGAGAATGACTGATACTTGGGACAGAAGGAATATTTTACCCACACTAAAGGCTGACTCCTAGTGCTGACCAGGTATATTAAGCAGTCCCTAGAGAATTTCAACAACTGAAAGCATGTGTTTTTCAAATTTCTGTGAGACTAACACTAAGTCCCTTGTGCAAGTGCATCATCTGTTTGAGCAGATGGTCGAACTGAGCTACACACAGAGCAGAAGCTGAGAGCACTCATGATAATGAATTTCATGCATTATTAAAATATAGGCCAACTTTTTATTGCATGATTGTTCATTGTTGTATTTTAAACAGCAAGGATAAAGACCCACTAACATCACGTTGCTCTCAAGTTGGATTATTTTAAAGTTTCCAGTTAAATTTCTCCTGTTGTTGGGTTTGGCTTTAAGCTGAAAATAACCTTTCTCTGCCTCACAGCTAATTTCTGCTCTAATTATACCGGTCATGACTACTGACAGTTAATAAAACAAGGAGTTAATCTATGGGGGTTTGATTATGTTGTTTTTTGTCTGCTGGAATAACCTTTTCCCACTTATTTCGTTTCCCCAAAATTGCTTTTGCGTATTACTGAAGCCTGTCAATGGATTTCAGCCATTAGCTTCTTCAAGATGGGAGTCCTTGGCATTTCAAGCTCAGAGATCATCCAGGCCACTGGCTCCCAGTCTGGGCTTCTCACAGGAGTCACCTAGGAACTGGGTCCCACCTGCAGAGATTCTGATGTAACTGGTTATGGGCTGTGACCTGAGCACTGAGAGGTTTTTTTTGTTTGTTTGTTTGTTTTTGTGTTTTGCATTAAGAGGTTTTAAAGCTCCCAGGTGAGTCTAATGTCTAGTAAATTTTGAAACCATTTGTCTAGTTCAAATCCCTCAATTTAAACATGAATCAGCTGAAGCCAAAACAAGTTTTGACAGCAGGTTGGACATAAGAGTCGGAATAGTCCTAATAACAGATAAAGCATGGCACTGTACATAGCTTAGGCACTTTCCAGCTATCATTACTTAATCCACTTTTGCATTTGCTAAAACACAGGTGACGCCAGGCTCCACCTGTGCAGTGTTTGGCCTCGGAGGGGTCGGCCTGTCTGTTGTCATGGGCTGTAAAGCGGCCGGAGCAGCCAGGATCATCGGGGTGGATATCAACAAAGACAAATTTGAGAAGGCAAAGGAATTGGGTGCCACTGAGTGCATCAGCCCACAGGACTTCAAGAAACCCATCCATGAGGTGCTGAAGGAAATGAGCGGTGGAGGTGTGGATTTTTCATTTGAAGTCATTGGTAGGCTTGACACTATGGTAAGTACCATGAAATGCCTTGAAATATGTGTTTCTGCATTCTGGAGTAGGTGTTTAGGCAGTGGAATATAAATATTATATATATACAGAATATTTTTCAAACTCTGAATGGTGATTTTTCATCTCCTATTTGATACCTGGATTATTTATTATTATAAGAAACGTTTCATTTCATCAGCTAATCAAACATAGCTCAAGTAGCATTTCCCCTTTAGAATATTGAGCCATTTAAAATTTACTTTGCTAATTTTTAGTGAAAGTATTCAAAATCAAGTAAATATAAATAATACAAATTCTGTTCTTATATTTGCAAGTTTTATTTTTCAGTATTTCCCTCACGTTTTTTAACAAAATGGCTTAATAATGTTAATGTTTTAACGAATTCTGTTTTTTTCCTACATCATAATTTGGTCAAAAGAAATAATGAACTATTTGCCCTAACTGGTTTGGCTCAGCAGTTAGAGCATCAACCCGTGTACCAAAGGGTCATGGGTTCGATTCCAGTCAGGGGCATGTACTTGGGTTGCAGATCCCTAGCCCCTGTTGGGACCATGAGGGAGGCAACCAATCGATGTTTCTTTCTCACATCAATGTTTCTCTCTCTCTCTTTCCCTTCCTTCCTCCCTCCCTCCCTTCCACTCTATCTAAAAATCAATAGAAAAATATCCTTGGGTGAGGATTAACAAAATAACTAATTAACTAACTAACTAGATAAAAGAAATAATGATCAATTTAAGGCAAGTATCATTTTATTAACGAAAACATGTTCCATTTTACCACAGCATATAGCACAGTGCCTGGCACACATATTAAGCACCCAAATCTATGTGTTAGACTGAATACTTTTAAAAAGTCAACAGATTTTTCCACCAAAAACATGTAAGAAGTATATATCTCTTGCTATGGATTACATGAGATAACACATGTAAACTACTTAACACAGTACTACTTGTCAAATGGTAAGTTCTTAAAAAAATTAGCTGGTGTTACTGATAGGAAATATTGTTTCCAGTAATGCAGTGCTTATATCATCTATACAATATATATATCACTTTCAAATAATTGCTAACATTATCAATTACCATGGGGAAGACATCTCTAGCTATATTTCTTTTAGTTTCTCATGTGGAATTGGATTGTTACTTTATTTGAAGATAGCAAATGTCTGATAGCCACATGTTGCAAAGGTATGTGGTTTTCCAAACATCATAATCCAGGGGTCTGGGCCTGGAGTGGTTCTGCCTAGGGCCCACCAGTAGTGTGTAAATTCTTGACTTTGCGTAGGAAAGATTTCACAGCAGGAGTCCAGGTGATTTTGAGAGTTTGTTTGTTAAAGCTGAGGACAGTGAAACAAACAAAGGGCTTAAGGTAGAAGAAGCAACAGGAGAAAGTTAGAGAAAAATGGGGCCCTGGAGACAAGTTCAGGGGTTAACCCTGGGATGAGCTCCCACTGCCCACTGCTCCCCTGCTTGCAAGTCTCATGGGCTCCCTTAGAACAGTAAAGATACAAGGCGTGGACATGCTCTAGCAAGAAAGAGCCCTGGCTCCTTTGCCTTGAGGCTTTTTTCTTTCTTTGGCCAAGGGAATGCTAGAGAAGTTGTTGATTCAACAAAATGTGGGTATAGAGGGGTCAGGGGTTATTTTATGGTTAGTTTCATTTTGAAAGAACATTATCAGGAGCATCATTGAAGAGGAACCGGGACTGAGGCCATTCTGTCCCAGGATGGTCTGGAATGTGTAAACCATTTGCTCCTTAGTGTCCTTAGTTGGAGAAGATAAAACCTTGTGATTCATTAGCTGTAAATTGCTCAGATTGTTTAACCTTGTTTAATTAATTATATTGTCTCAGTTTCCCTTATTCCACTTGTCAAGGAATTTCTCTAGCTTCTTACTATCCTGCCACAAAAGGACTAGTCATTATATATTACTGAGAGATCCTGAAAACATTTTCTACTACAGACATATTTAAAACCCTGACTGGAGGAAGAAGGCTTTCTTTTGAAGTTCCAGAATAATGGGTATAGTTTAAAGTGAAATCAATATACATTTTTGGGAGGTAAAGGCACATTTAAAACATGTTCATTTTAGCCCGGCCGGTGTGGCTCAGTGGTTGAGTGTCGGTCCATGCACCAAGAGGTCACTGGTTCAATTCTCAGTCAGGGCACATGCCCAGGTTGGTGGGCCAAATCCCCAATGGGGAGCATGCAGAAGGTGGCCAATCAATGTTCTCTCTCATCGATGTTTCTATCTCTCTCTCTCCCTCTCTTTCTTATATCAATAAAGAAAAAAAAATTAAAAACTATAATGAGATAACACCTCATCACTTCTGTTAGAATGGCTGTTATCCAAAGATCAAGAAATGATGTTGGCAAGGATGTGGAGACAAGGCAACTCTTGTGCACTGTTGGTGAGGATGTAAATTGGTTCAACCATTATGAAAAGCAGTATTTAGGGTCCTTAAAAAATAAAAAATTGAACTACCTTATTATCTAGCAATCCACTGCTAGATATATATCTAAAGGAAATGAAATCACTACCTTGAATAGATATCAGCACCCCTATGTTTACTGCAGCAGTATTCACAATTGCCAAGATATGAAAACAACCCAAGTTCTATCAACTGATGAATGAATAAAGAAATGGTGATGTGTATATGGTGAAATATTAATCAGCCATATAAAAGGAAATTATCCACTTGCAACAACATATACAAATCTGGGGACATCATGCTAAGTAAAACAAGCCAGACATAGACAGACAAATACTTTATGATCTCCCTTATATGTGAAATCCAATAAAGTTGAAGTCTTAGAACCACTGAGGACAATGGTGGTGTCATGGCTGAGGAAATGGGGAGATGTTGGTAAAAGGGTACAAACTTTCAGTTAAAAGATGAGCAAATTCTAAGGATATAATGTACAGCATAGTGATTATAGTCAATAATATTGTATTCTACACTTCATGTTTGCTAAAGGAATAGATATTAAGTGTTTTCATTAAAAAAAAGAAAATGGTAACCATGTGAGGCAATGGATGTGTCAACTTGACTGTGGTAATCATTTTATATTGCATATGAATATTAAATCATCACATTGTACATCCTAAAAAAATCACATTGTATAACCTAAATTTATACAATTTTATTTGCTAATTATACCTCAGCAAAGCTGGAAAAAAAATGCAGAAATCAGAACAAAGGTCCATATTATAAATGAACAGTATAGGGAACTATTAAAAAAGGAGACCATATCAAGTGGAAAGAGACAAATTGTGATGATATAATTGACCATACATCTTGTGCACCATCAAAACACCGGGTTTAAAGTATTAAGTTCAAAATACCTTGTTAATAACCAAATAAAAAATGAATTAGCCAACTCATTGATTATCCGAGAGTCATGTAATGACAAAACATTACTTATATTTGAGGAATCAGACTTTAAATAGATATGTTTGTAATGATGTTTGCTTCTTCATTACTTTATAAGGAAGAATTAAGTGTACACAAAATTCATTCACCCATGTCTCATTCAAAAAGTATTTTCTGGGCATTTCCCAAAGCCACAGCACTATCCTAGGCGTAACGGGGAATGAAGAAGCCAAAAACATAATCTCTTTCCTCCACATGTTCACAATCTAGCTAAATCAATATTACATGTTCACAATCTAGCTAAATCAATATTACTGTGTATTATGAGTAAGGACTATCAGAGAGCCCACTTTAATGATGCAAAATATTAATTTTATTCCAGGTGGCTGCCTTGGCATGCTGTCAAGACTCATATGGCATAAGCGTCATTGTAGGAGTACCCCCTGATTCCCAAAATCTCTCCATGAACCCTATGTTGCTATTGAGTGGACGTACCTGGAAAGGAGCAGTGTTTGGTGGTATGTATTTAGGCTTGAGGGCTGAATTCTTATTAACTTCAGGATTTCTTCCCTTTATCAAGTGCCAATGCCAGGTTTTAAAAAGCATCATGGTTAAACTAAATTAAAAGTTCTTTGTATCTGTAGGCTCCAAATCAACTAGATGTAGAACTACTGTACAAGTTCCCAAGGTAAATTTACCTGGTGTCTCCATAAACGAGGGTTTTTTAGCACCACTTCTTTTTATACATGTGACCAGAAAATTCATAGCAATAATTCACGTCTGCTCTTGTTACCCAAATTTAGACAGTTACACACTTTGCTCCTTGACTTCAGGGACAACCATTCATACTATAATTTCTCTGTGAGAGAGCAAATAACTAAGGACCTTGTTTATCTAGGCACATTTTTTTAAGTAAAAGAAAAAGTTTAACAACTGCAAGAGGATATTGAAGCACTCTGTCTCTTATTAACCTCAGTAATAGTAGTCTGAGTGGTAGTAAATAGTAGTAGAACTTTCATTATAATTCTATTCAGAAAGTTTCCTCTCCAATCATTTTACCCCTGGCTAACAATGATGTCATTTTCTTTTCAGGCTTTAAGAGTAAAGATTCTGTCCCCAAACTTGTGGCCGATTTTATGGCTAAGAAATTTCCATTGGATCCATTAATAACCCATGTTTTACCTTTTGAAAAAATAAATGAAGGATTTGACCTGCTTCGCTCTGGAAAGAGGTAGATTTTAAGTTTTCTTTTATAGTGGGGATTTGGTTAACAGAGAAAAAAGTGAAAGTATGAGAAAAACATTGGAGTGCCTTGGTTTTCCATTACTAGTTCAGTCTTTGAATGTAGAACATTTAAGATCATATTGTGAGAAGCTAGGAAGAGTTGTTTTGCATTTCCTGTTCTGCTGAAATGAAATTACGTATGTTGGTTACAGTGAATCTAAATAATCAAAGGCACTCGTTTTTATTTACAAGAGTATACTCACCCTTGCTAAGAAAAATAATCAGAGTAACACAGTCATAATCATAACATGGAGTCACTGCAGCCTCTGCCTGGCCACCTAAAAATGTTGACAATTAATAGCTGTAAATGGAGTGATGGAGCTACATTGGGGTTGTTTTCTATAGAGATATCACTATTATTTCTTTTAAAACACCGACTATTATTATTTCACTTTTTTTTGTTTACAAATAATTTTTCTCAAATAAAAATGGTTGTAAAGGGGAATGCTATTTTAAATGTTTAAGTCTTACATTTTTTTCAAAGCTTAGCAAAATAAGCCAATTATATTTCCTACCCCTAACATTTAACTTTTTCAACCACCTAAAAAGAATATGTCATTTGCATTTATAGATGAGGCACAACTAGTAATAGGCAGTTATCTCTAACTTCCATCTTCTAGTTCCATAGCCCATGCTTTTTCTATCTCATACTTTTTCTCATGAGGTTTTCAACTATAAGTTGAAAGTTTGATTATTTCTTAAGTACCCCCACACATAACATATTATGCTGGACACTTATTCTGATAAATATTATTGAAGAAGAAAAGAAACTAGCAGCACACAGTACCAGATTATGTCCTTTTTGGAAAGCAATTTGGTAATTTGTATCAGAAAAACAAAAATAATAATACTTAAATTCTTTGTCCCAGAAATTTTATTTCTGGGAATCTATTCTATAGAAATAATTAAATATGCAAACACATCTATTTAAGCATATTCATCTATTATCTATAATATCAAAAATTGGAAATATCCTAAAAGTTCAACGTTAAGGGGATGGCTTCAAATTCTAGTCATGTACTAAGCCATTCAAAAGAAATGATTTTGCACTGGCCAGCTTGGCTCAGCAGTTAGTGTGTTGGCCTGTGCACCAGAGAGACCTGGGTTTGGTTCCTACTAAGATCACATACCTCAGTTGCTGGCGCCAGTTGGGGTCCAGTGGGTGGCAACCAGTCGATGTGTCTCTCACATCAATGTTTCTCTCTCTGTCTTTCTTCCTCTTTCCCTCATGTTCTATCTGAAGATAAATGCAAAAATGTCCTCAGGTGAGGATAAAAAAAAAAAAGAAATGATTTCATTAAATTGGGACGTTCTCATGATATGATTTTAAGTTATAGAATATAAATATAAACTTACATATACAGTATGATCCCAAGTTCTCAACAAGCACAATAAAAAACATGCATGTGGCCCTGGCTGGTTTTGCTCAGTAGTTAGGGCATCAGCCTGTGGACCAATGAGTTGCGGGTTTGATTCTGTTCAAGGGCACGTACACCAGTTGCGTTTCGTCCCTGGCCCTGGTTGGGGTAGTGCAGAAGGCAACCAGTTGATGTGTCTCTCTCACATCAATATTTCTCTCTCTCCCTCTTTCTCCCTCCTTCCCTCCCACTCTACCTGAAGATAAATGGAAAAATATCTTCAGGTGAGGATTTAAAAGAAAAAAAAAATGTGCATGTGTCTAGAAAAAAGTTGGTCAAAATTCAAGAAAATATTAACACTGATCATCTCTAGGCTGTGAGATAACAGGTTATTTTTACTTTCTTTACACTATCCTTTAGCTTCTAAGTTATCTACATATTTTTCCACACACACACACATATATATATATATATATATATATATATATATATATGATATTTAAAGACATGAAGATCTTCTTTTTCTAAAAATATTTATCCATCAGAAGATGGTTTTGAGAAAGAACATGAGTTCCAATGTAAATGTTACATTTCTGATCTTCTCAAGAATGGAACATCTCTAAACACAAATCAATTTTATCTACTTTCCAAGACTACTTAAGCACACTGCTTTGTCAGAGCTCTATGAAACCTTCAACATGGTCTTAATTATTACATCATTGCTTCCTTCAGGCAAGTTACCTGTCATCTTGTAATTTGTGCAATTTTGTACTTGGGTTTAAATCCCAGAACTTCACACTAGATGTGTGACTTAGAGCAAGTTACAAATCTCTCTAAGCCTCAGCATATTTTATTTCTAAAATGGAAATAACATTGAAACCTGCCTCAAAGCATTGTCAAGGTGAGTTTAAATGATAAAAATGCACAAAAAAACATCTACGGAGTATGTGACAAATAGCAAGAACTTGTTGCCTATTGTTGTTTTGAATTCATTATTATGTCAGGCATATAGGCTCTCGAAAAGGTTTTTCGAGGATTCTAGTACGTAATAAAGCCTAAATGATAGTCACGTTCAGGATGTTATGTTTAAGTTTAAGGTTGGAGAAAACACAAGACTGAACCTGGAAAAGGTGAACTGCTCTTTGACTTGACTTGAGTGCCTAGGGATGGGAATGGAGTGGCAGGAAACACAGACAGCTGTTCACTGAGACGCATCAGATGCTCCTTGGACTGTCACATGGGAAGAGTCCATAAACATTAAAACAATTACATAAACATTAAAACAATCAATATCTTTTCTGTTTCAGTATCCGTACCGTCCTGACATTCTGAGACCATGCAAGTGCCTTCCCTTGTAGCAGTCTTCTGGCTCCTTCATCATTGGTCTTATCAGCCAAAGGCATTGATATTCTGTTCTTCAGAGATGCTGTCAATACATTACACCTGGGAGGTTTCCATGTGAAAACAAGAAACAAAAATTGTTGTGAAATCATTTTCCAAGCAAATGTTCAAAATCCAAGTGACAGTTAGATGAACATTCTGTTTAGCAGAGTAATTGAGTCCAATAAACATTTATTCTTAACCATTCTGCTTGTGTTGAATTGTTTCATCTTTCCCATCAAGGAAAAGTATTTCTTTTGACTTACACTTTTTGGATCTTTGCCTCCCTTAGTCACTGAAGCCCCGTGGGAGAGGTCCTCATTTTACTTGCCCCCAGCATACACATGATGGGCTCTTGTGCTTGAAGTCTCCAATTCTGCCTCTACTTCCACAGTCTGTATTCCCCTTTTTATGAAAAGTACCAAAGCCTGAAGGTGAAACTCATGCCTGCAAAAGGACACACTCAGACGTTTAAGGGAAGAAGGTCCAGAATGTCTAAATGCAGGAAACTTCTTAGGGAAATGTCACGCAGCACACATTTTTATATGATGCAGGGAAGTGTATTTATTGCTTTTATACCCTTTGCACTGAATATACAATTGTTCTTTTAAATAAAAACAATGTTATGCTGCCTGTGATAAATGTGAGGTTCAGATATTAAATGTGAAAACTGAACCATTTCTGGAAACATAATTTTAAAAAATCTGGATTTTTTACTCATGAAGTGTTTTATTGGTTAAACCACCTTAATTATTACAATTAATGGAAAATTATCATAAGCAATTAAAAAGTAATATGGTACCTTAAAGTGTAGAGATGAAGCAGATGTGGACACCACACATAAACTGGTAACAGAAATGGCACAAGCGTCTAAAGCAATACGTTTTCTAAGTAGATATACATATACAGATGTACACTTTGCAGTAATTATTTTCAACCTAGAATTTTTCTATTAACTACCATGCCTTAAATCAAGTCTATAACCTTGGAATTAGTTTAATTTCTTTAAATATGTGAAAGCCTATGGTACTGTTGTTAATGCTTTCCCACAATCGGAGAGATTTGCATTATGTAATGTGCAATTTGCAAGGTGTAATAAAAAGTTTATTCCTTTGAGGATTTTTAACTATCTCCAGAAGTGTATTTGTTTCCATGTCTATAATTTGTTTGGTTTTGTGGAAAGGACTCTAGACTTAGAGCAAGAGATCTCCCACTTTTGTGTGACCTCCTGTAAGTTACTCAACCTGTCTGAGTCCATTTCATTCTTTGTTTTAGAAAATTATTCTACCAACCCATTACAGCTTCAGAAAGATTAGATGAGATGATGCTAGTGAGAGGGATTTGTCAACTATGAAGTGCCGTGAAAATGTAGGGAATAGTATCATTGTTTTGTAGGAAGAAGGAGATATTGAGGGTCCAGGCAGCTTCAGAATGTTCCTATAAGAACATAACGGGACACTATGGGTCCATGCTGCTGGGTGCTCCAATGTCCTTATATTGGTGCTGATGATGTGGGACCCAGAGAAAAAGAAGATGGTACTAGATATCCATGCCACAATAGTGAGCATAAAGTTCTCCTGGTTGCGCGAAGGCCTGCATCCAGCTTCCTCTCTCCTTCTCCCAGGTTGTGGGGAGCAAGTGGAGAGCAGGATGTAGGGCATGTCAGTACTCTCACAAAGTGGCACAGTCCTTCTCCATGGGGTGTGTGGGGGCAGGTTGAGAGTGGGTGCTTTCTGCACCCAACACCGGCTCTCTGTATATATCAGCACTGGTGAGGAAGTAGACAACTGAACTCAACATATAAAAATGGAACCACAGAGTGGTTGGTATCCTGATAGGCCTGTAATGGCACATGGTCAAGGTATCTTGGTGGCCTCTAGCAATGAAAATTCTGACTCTAGAATCAAGAATATCCATATTTGCTAGTTGGTCTTCTTTTTAAAAATGGAACTGTGAATGTACGTGGCTTGCACTCACTTTTAGCCAGCTGCAAAAAGCTTAGTCAAAATGAAGAAAATTTTCAGTTTAAAGAATAAAACTTAAAAAAATTTTATATATTATTTTTTTGTTGCCGTTATTGATTTTAGAGAGAGAGGAAGTGTGAAGGAGAGAGAGAGAGAGAAACATCGATGAGAGAGAACATGGATTCATTGCCTCCTGCATGCCCCCCACTGGGGATCAGGCCCACGACCTGGGCATGTGCCCTGGCCAGGAATCAAACTGACCACCTCTTGGTGCATGGGTTGATACTCAACCACTGAGCCACACCAGCCGGACTAAAGAACAAAAATTTTATGTTGATGGTTTAACTGACAACTCTAATACAATGACTTAGCTCCTCCAGAAATACTAAATAAACAAAAAGCATTAATATAATTGAATGCTGCATTAACCCGTTGTCACTTTACAGATCACACAAGCTGCTCTAAGATGAGAAAGTCATTTTGACAGAATCACTCAAAAATTAATCAGAGGTTAAAGAGAGAGCAAGACTATATTTAGCAAATTACATTCTCAGATACCCGACTACTTAATTCTGTTAGCAAATGATTATTGAACAAATAACTTCAATACTTATTCTTTGAAAATTCTTAAGGAAGAATTTTACTGACATACATTAAATTCTATGTCTTTCAAATACTTAGCAATTTTCATGAAATGGGCCATTGCATAAGAAGAGAAACCAGTATTAGTGGGGCAAGAATAAAAGTAGAATTAGAGCGCTATAGTGGAGGCCAAACACTATTCTCACGAGAAAAATGGTCAGATGTGTGGACTCAGTTAGTGGCTTTCATTCAGATCCCATCTGCACAGCCCCCAAGAGAACACAGAAGTTGCTTAATTATTCACAAACAAAGTTAACCCAGGAGAAAAGATAACTTAAGAGAGAAAGCATCTGCTTTCCTTGTCCAGGCTTGCTCTTCGAAGTATCTGGTGTGTCAACAAAGAAGTCAATAGGTTTATTATGAGAAAGCAAGTTCAGCGAGATTGCCAAATAATACTTATCTACATATGCTGTTTATACACTACCACTCACTCACAAACAATCAGTGATTTTGGAGCTATCTAATTGCCTTAAGGGTGGGTCATCACTATAGTTTTGAAACAAAAAGAATTTTAGTTCACACTAAATTTAAATAATATTCCTCAGTTAATTTCATATTTCAGAGTGTAACAGTGAGGAATTGTAACCCATCTAACCATTCTTTTGACATTGTTTCTGTACATGCTGTCTCTGACTGGTATGTAGCTTATAGGTAAACAGCATGTTTATGTAAAAATCCTAAGAACTAACTTCAAAAGATACAGACTCTGACTTTCAGTTATCCCAGTTCTGGGAGATTTGCTGACCTTCAACCATTAAACCAGGATGACAAAGACCAGGATGAGGCAACCTGACCATCACTTGACCAGTTTTAAGATCCTTATTGGTATGGACTGTGCTGGTCTGCAGGTAGAGAACTTTTCAACTCCTTCCCCTTGATCTCTTTGTTTTACTTCCGCTCTCCCTCCTTATAAAAACCTCTGTCTCACTGAAATGTAGAGATGAGCTTTGTGACAAGAGTTTCCCATCTTCTCAGGTGTCCAGGAATTGAATAAACCTTTCCTTTTTCACAAGCATGTCTGTCTCACATGTTTGACTTTCATGGTAGCAGGCAACAGAAACTTGGTTCTGGTTACAAGAGTGCGTGGGAGACAGAGATTGGAAAATAACTGGATAACTGCTTCTTTTGAACTTGAATTCAAGCCTCATTAAATCATAAGTGAAAGAAAGCTGGAGTGAAGTAAATGTTATTAATGGAAGGAAATACTAAAGCATTTATTTTATATTTCCAAAATTTTCAAACTGTGATGAATAGCAGAAAAGATTTACAGCTGTTAGTGACCCTATATTTTTCATTTGCTTCCTTCCCCTCCTTCAGGGACATTCAGACAGAATGTTGAAGAACATGCTGGTTGACTTTTTGGTGTGAGCGAGACTTGAGGCTCTCTGGGCTCTTTTTCTCCATCTCTACAACAATTATGAAGAAAAATAAAGAAGTGAAAAAAGAATGGGAGAGGATAACAATTATATCCAAAACTAACACCTAACAGGAAAATTGTCAATGTTTAATTTGAATTCTGCATTCTGTCATTGCACTGATTGTTACCTATGAGGAAATATTTACAACTAAATTTAAAGGATGAAGACAGAGCTTGGAAGAAGGAAAATTGGGGGACAGCTTTGCAAACAGAGAGCTCAGCATGAAAGAGCAGAATGTGTTTAGGAAATTATATGCATTTAGTATTGCTGACCTAAAAACTTCACGATGGGAAATGTCTGGGCCAGGTAACTGTGATTCTTGAATTCCTCAAAAGAGCTCTGTGCAATGGGAGCTTCATTAAAATTTTCTGGGCAGATTGGTAAAGTGACCAGATTAACATATTAGAAGCTCATTCTTGCAGCCTTGGGAGGGAGCATTAGAGGTGAGGAGGGGAACAGAGCGAGGGGGGTTCAGTTATGTACAGACAAGAGAGAATTGAGCCCATTTTAGAGCAGTGTCTAAGGGGAAGGAGTTCATCAGAATGAGATATTCTTAGGAAGTGTAGGTGACTTGATACCAGGACTAAGGAAATGTGGGCCACAAGATAGAGAAAGAGAGAAATGAGGCTAATTGCAGTGTCTATTCTGACAACTGAGTGCGGACGGTAGGCCTTTTCATCAACTTGGGAGCTAAGAGTAGCATCAGGTATTTGTGTTGAAGATGGTTAAATTTGGCACTGGACTTGACAAGTTTGAAGTACTTCTAAGATGTTCAATTGGAGTTGTTTATACAAAGTCTGCAGCTAAGAATTAAATTCTGAGCTAAATATATAACTTGGGGGTTTATTCCCTTTTGATAATTCCCCACAGTGTAAGTCCTCTTTCCTAGCATTGAATTCTCCCCAAAACCTTACAAGATACAGAAGTGTGATTACGTTGCCCAGCCAGTGTGGTTCAGTGGTTAAGCGTTGGCCCATGCATCAAGAGGTCGCTGGTTCGATTCTAGGTCAGGGCACATGCCCAGGTTGTGGGCCAGATCCCCAGTTGGGGGCATGTTGGAGGCAGCCAATCAATGTTCTCTCTCATTGATGTTTCTATCTCTCTCTCTCTCTCTCTCCCTTCCTCTCTCTCTAAAATCAATGAAGAAAACAATTTTTTTAATGAAAAAAAAA